TAGCAAGATGTGCTGCGTAATCTACGTGGGGACATGTATGTGGTGCAGTCTGCGTGGTGCAATACAGGCGGTGCAGTCGACGTGGTGCAGTGTACGTGGTGCAATAGACGATGTGCAATACATGATGCTCAATATATGTGGCACAAGCTACGCTGGACAATACATGCGGTGCAACTACGTGGCGCAATGTGTGTGGTGCGATCTATGTTGTTCAGTCTACGTTGTGCGATCCATGTTCTACATTATATGTGCAATCTATGTGGTGCAATATATGCGTCACGACCTAAATCGTGTAGTGCATCTGTGTTGCGAAACGTATGCGGCGCAATGTATGCGGTACAATATGTGTGGTCCGATCGATGCGGTGCGATATATCTTGTGCAATTTATGTGGTGCGATCTATGTCGTGTAATATACGTGGTGCTACATGCGGGTTGCAATATACGAAGTGCAATATCTATATATATTTATATATATGTATGTGTGTGTATGTGGCGCACAGATGCTGTGCAATAGATGCTGCTCAATAGATGTGAAGCAGCGTACATAGTGCAATCTATGCGGTGTAATTTACGTGGCGCATTGAATGTAATGCGATCTAGTGTGTGCAATATATGCTGTGCGATGCATGTTGTGCAATATAGGTGGTGGCCGCAATCTATGTGGTGCAACCTATGCGGTGCAATGTATGCGGTGTGGTGAGGAGTGATGCATCTGCGTGGCGAAAAATATACGGTGCACCGTTTGTTGGTCAGTTCATGTGGTGCAATATACGAGGTGCGGTCTATGCTGTGCAATATATGTGGTGCGATTCAGGTAGAGCAAACAATGTGTAATTTATGTGGTGCAACAGATGCTGTGCAATAGATGTTGTTTTGGATGTGGTACAACATATGCGGTGCAATCTATGTTGCGAAATATATGCCATACAACCTACGATGTGTAACATATGCTGTGCAGTGTATGCTATGCGATCTGTGGTGTGCAATCAGCGGTGCAACATATGTCGCGCAGTATGTATATACATACATACAAGCATAAACATATATAGAAAGATGGTGCAGCCTATGTGGTGCAATCCACTTCGACTGTCTTGAAGCTGTCCTCTCCACTGCTCGTGCAAACATCCCACCCACCCACCCGCAACTTGGTCGCAAGACATCTTCAGACAAGACCGTCACGGTAGGTACTGCGTGGCACTTGGCCACGACACCGATGCCGACGACGACAGCGACATCGACGACGACGGCGCCGCCGACAGCGACTGCGACGACACCGACGACGTCTCCAATGTTTTCGACGACGACAACGACGACGACGACACCGACGACGACGACAACGACGCCGACGACGACGACGAAGACGACGACGACGTCGCCAACGGAGACGACGACGAGGGAGGAGAAAAAACGACGACGGCGACAACGACGACAACGACGATGGAGGAGGGAAGACGGCGACGACGCCAACGACGAAGAAGGAGGAAGGACGGCGACGCCGACGACGACAACGACGAGGGAGGAGGGAAGACGACGACGATGACAACGACGACGAAGACGACGACGACGGCGACGAAATAGGAGGGACGACGACGAGACGCCGACGACGGACGACGACGACGAGGGAGGAGGATAACGACGAGGGAGGAGTGAAGACGACGACGACGACGACGACGACGACGACGACGGCGACGAAATAGGAGGGACAACGACGAGACGCCGACGAAGACAACGAGGGAGGAAGGACGACCACGGCGACAACGACGACGGAAACGACGACGACGCCAAAGACGACGAGGAAAGACAGAAGACGACGACGGCGACGACGACGACGACGACGACGAGGGAGGAGGGAGGACGACGACGACGACGACGACGCAAGAGCGCGCGCGCACAATTTTGTTGAAAACCCGTGTTGCGAAACCGTTTGTTTTTGTAGGTTTTTTTTGACGCACGATTTCGAAATTCTTCCGAAACCGAAGGTTTCTGAAGGATTTCGGCATACGCCCGCGACGACGCGCGCGTCTGCACTTCGTCCCATTTTTTGCGGAGGATTCTCGCGACGGCACACGCGCAAGAGCGTTCGACAGATTTCGACATGCGCGCGCGCGAAGCCCGTTTGGTAGCATTTTGTGAAAATCTTTGAAAACCTATGTTTTTCTTAAGATTTCGCAAGAGCTCGCGCGTAAGTTTTTCTTTGAATCAGTGTTGCGAAACCATGTATGTTTGTATGTTTTTTGGAAATTTAATTTTGAAATCTCTCCAGGACCGAAGGTTTTTGAAGGATTTCGGCATGCGCGCGCCACGACGCGCGCGTGTGCACTTCGTCCCATTTTTTGCAAGGGATTCGTGAAAAAGTGCTATGTTGGAACAAAAAATGTCATCGCATAGTGTTTTTTTACAAGGGAATCGCAGGGGGGGGAACCCGGCCTGGCTGGGATGGTATGAATTCATATTTAGGATGGACATGTGGTCAGAATCATATGTAATTTACAGCACGCGCGGGGTAACCGATAAGTCCCGGGGGGGGTAGAATCTATTAGTCTTGTAGAAAGGAGAATCTATGTGATGCAATTAATTTCTGTTCGCAGTGAGCTGTCCACTCCACTGCTCGCGCAAACATCCCACCCACCCACCCGCAACTTGGTTTGCAAAATCTCTTAAGACCGTGACGGTGGGTACAACATGGCACTTGGCAACAACAGCGACGCCGACGACGACAGCGACAACGACGATGACGACGCCGCCGACAACGACTACGACGACACCGACGACGTCTCCAACGACTTCGACGACGCCGACAACGACGACGACGACGACACCGACGACGACGACGACGACACCGACGCCGACGACGACGACGATGACAACGACGACGACGATGACGACGCCGACGACGACGATAACGACGACACCGACGACGACGACGACGTCAACGACGCCGACGACGACGACGACGACGACGACGACGACGCGCGCGACGACGACGACGCCGACGTCGACGACGACGAAGACGACAACGACGCCGACGCCGACGACGACGACGAAGACGACGACGACGTCGCCAACGAAGACAACGAGGAAGGAGGGAGGACGACGACGGCGACAACGACGACAACGACGAGGGAGGAGGGAGGACGGCGACGACGCGAACGACGAAGAAGGAGGAAGGACGGCGACGCCGACGACGGCAACGACGAGGGAGGAGGGAAGACGACGACGACGACGACACGACGACGACGACGACGACGGCGACGAAAAAGGAGGGACGACGACGAGACGCCGACGACGGACGACGACGACGACGAGGGAGGAGGAGGAAGGACGACCACGGCGACAACGACGACGGAAACGACCACGACGCCAAAGAGGACGACGACGAACACGAGGAAAGACAGAGGACGACGTAGGCGACGACGACGACGACGACAACGACGCGGGAGGAGGGAGGACGGCGACGACGACGACGACGACGACGACGCAAGAGCGCGTACGCACGCTTTTGTTGAAAATCCGTGTTGCGAAACCTTGTGTTTTTGTAGGTTTTTTGGACACACGATTTTGACATCCTTCCGAAACCGATGGGTTTTGAAGGTTTTCGGCATACACGCGCGCGACGACGCGCGCGTCTGCACTTCGTCCTATGTTTTGCAAGGGATTCTCGCGACGGCACACGCGCAAGGGCGTTCGACAGATTTCGACATGAGCGCGCGCGAAGCCCGTTTGGTAGCATTTTGCGAAAATCTTGAAAAAACTATGGTTTTATTAAGAGTTCGCAAGGACTTTCGCGGAAGTTGTTTTAGCAACTCTGTGTTGCGAAACCCTGTGTTTTTGTATGCTGTTTGGAAACTCGATTGCGAAATCCTTCCCGCACCGAAGGTTTTTGCGACGACGCGCGCGTGTGCACTTCGTCTCATTTGTTGCAAGGGATTCGTGAAAAAGTGCTATGTTAGAACAAAACATGTCACCGCATAGTGTTTTTTTACAAGGGAACCTAAGGGGGGGAACCCGGTTTGGCTGGGATGGTATGATTTCATTTTTAGGATGGACGAATGTGCAGAATATATATGAAATCATATAATCCCAGGGGGAGCCGATAAGTCCGGGGGGGGGTAGAATCTATTAATCATTTAGAAAGGAGAATCTATGCGTGGCGGTGACGGGGCGGCGACGTAGACAACATAGCCGCCAGACTGGCACGCAGACCCAGACGACGGGCGGCGACGAGGCGGCGAAGGGGCGGCGACGACGACAACTTACGACGACAACTTAGCCGCCAGACCGGCACGCAGGCCCAGTTCCTTAGAACAGAAGTAGGAGCCCCTGAGTGCAGGCACTGCTTGCGGAATTAAAAGCTAAGAGAGAAAGAGAGAAGAAGAGACAGACAAACAGACAGACAAACTGACAGACAGACAGGTAGACAGGCAGGCAGGCAGACAGACAGACAGACAGACAAGACAGTCAGACAGGCAGACATAGAGAAAGAGACAGGACAGAGAGACAGGAAGATAGGGAGAGAGGTCAAGACAGGGTAGAGTGTAGTATACGTCTATACATATATACATATATATATATACAGACGCACTGAGATAGTACGTAAGAAAGAGAAAGAGAGAGAGAGAGAGAGAAAGAAAGAAATAGAAAAGCGGGGGGGAGAGAAAAGCAGGCATATTCTACATATCTCTCTACTTAGTGAAGAGATACTGACGGGTCACGCTACCGTGGCAAGGAGACTGGGTGGTGGGTGCAACTTTCGCCTCGCGATTAGCCCAGGATCCTGCTCGCGATCTATCGTAGGGCCTCTGACTCTCTCTCTCTCTCTCTATCTCCCTCCCTCTTTCGTTCGACCTATCTTTCTCTCACCTCGATACGAAGATTTAGAAAAAAGAAGGGAGAGAGACAAACAAACTATACGAATTGAGAAACAGAGGGAGAGAGGGACATAGAAAGAGGGGACGAGAGAGAGAGACAGAGAAAAAGAGAGAGAGAGAGAGACACGTATCACAACAGACGCAAAAACCCTGGCGGGCGCAAGCAACGAGGCCGCAGAGAGCACCGGCTCACGCGGCGGCGCGACGATAGAAGAACGGGGTCTGCGCCCGCAGCACCCGCTCCGCGGCCGGCCACAGCCGGGGGCACCCGGGCGCGAAGCTCAGGGACGCGAGAACCCGCGTGGGGGAGCTCCCGGGCTGCGTGCGACGCGCCGCAGGCCAGAGCAGCGGCACGAGCACACAACCTGGCGGAGGCCCGCGCGGGACCGCTTTCCTCTGGCCCAGCAGCTCGGCGCGCCCCGCGCGCCGGGCCGGGATCGCCCCGCGTCGCCAAGGCATCGCCGAGGCGCCAGGCGATGCGTCGGCGATGCCTCGGCGACGTCGGCCTGGGCTCCACACCGAGCCGCGTCGCCGACGCGTCGGCGATGCGGCGCGATCCTCCGACCCCATCTGCCCCGACCCCATCTGGGAGGCCCACGAGTGTGAGGCAGGGGGGGGCCCTGCGCCGACTGGCGACGTCTGAGCGGGCCTTTGAAAACGTGCGCTCATGGAGTATCGTTTCACCGATCCCCACCCCCAGCGGCGCGGCCTGGGCCCCACCGGCCGATCTACCCCCCCAAGATGGGGACATAGGTCGTTCGCCTCGGGCTTCGAGGGGCGTATCCCCAACTGGGGTGGCAATTTGGTGGGGGCCTCGAAGGGGACGGGGCTGGGGATGGGGCTCGGTGAAACGACACCGACTCGTGCAGCTGCTCTGGCCTGCCGGATGCAGCCGGGCGTTGTCGAAGACCACGGCCTCCCCGAGCGCGTACTGGACCACGCCCTCCAGGCCGCCGCCGGGGCCGAAGACCTCGAGGCCGGCCGAGCCCTCCGGCAGCACGAGCGGCACCAGAGCGGTGAAGGCGCTGCGCGCACCCAGCACTGCCTCGTCCCAGTCGCGGTGGGGGAAGACCTCCGAGTCCTCGGGCGATTTCCCGCATGCACGCTCCCCTCCTCCTCCTCCTCCTCCTCCTCCTCCTCCTCCTGCTCCTCCTCCTCCTCCTCCTCCTCCTCCTCCGAGTTGGGGGCCGCTGCCCGCTGCACGCCCCCCCCCACGTCGTTGCCCTGCAAGAGTTGAGCAGGCGCCCAGCGTCACTCGCCCCGGGAGCGGCGGTGCGTGCGCCGACGTCGGCGAGGCCTTGGCGCCATCGGCGCGGAGGCGTTCGGTGGCTCCACGTCGCGCCCCAGCGGCGGTGCATCGGCGAGGCGGCGCAATCCCCGGACCCCATCTGCTCGGACCTCGTCTGGGCGACGATCAGCAACGCTGGCCATCGCTCGGACGTCCATTCCCTGTGCTTTTTTCGGTTTCGTGCGTGGTTGTTTCGCCAAATGATCAAGGATGCTCCTCGATGGCCCTCGCCGAAGGAAAAACGCACACGTCCGAGCGATGCCAAGAACGGGCCTTGCGCGAGATGGCACAGCGACCTGACCACCCCGCGGTTTGCGCGGGCCGCCAGCGCGGCACGCACCACCGGAAACGGGGGCGCGCGTGCGCGCGGCCTGTTGCGCGGGCGGCTGACGCGCGATGGTCGGCGCAGTCGAACCGCTTTCTTATTTCGTCGCTCATCTAGGAGGTCTAGAGTTAGCTCGGGCATGTCCTCCTACAGGCGAACTTGGGGCGAAAAAACAAAAATAGTCAAACATATGCAAAAAATAAGAACATCGTCCCCAGGCGATTTTTACTGTGTTTGAATACTCCTCCTGTATCTGAGGGACATGCCCGATTTAAACGTAGGTTTCCCCTAACGATTGGGCGATGCCGAAAAGTCCCTCGCCCCTGGAGAGCGCAGCACCACGAAGGAGCCGGCGCAGAGCTTAAGGCTGCGCCCGCCCAAGCGGCTGGCGGCGGTCACCTCGGCCTCCAGGGCCGCCGCGAGCGCGTCGAACGGCCCCATGGCCTGCGGAGGGGCAACGACAAATTAAGAAAGACAGCCGATCCTGTTTGGAGGAGGGGGCTGGGAAGATGCAGGGCGCGACTGCGTCATAAGCCCATCAAACATACGCGATCAGATGGATGACCTGATCACTCCTCACGGCCCCAGTCTCCCAACTCGGTATGAAGGGGGGTGACGAGGGGAGAGCCTGGTGGGGGGAGGGCCCAGGGAGAGGGGCCCAGGGCCTGCGCTTTGCGCCGGACCCGTTCTTTATTCTCCCACGGGGCCCGAAAAAACAGAGACCCCACGAGCTGAGATCCAGCCACGGCCCCGGCTCCGGTCCCAGCCCCGGCCCCCAGGCCCCCGCCCCTCGGAAACCCGCCCCCGAGGCTGTCGTCGTCGGCGGCGGCGGCGGCGTCGCCGTCGCCAATCCGAAGGAGATTGAAGAAAACGGACAGGGACGCCAGGGGACGCACTCCTCCTTCCCCCTCTTCCCCCTCCTCCTCCTCCTCCTCCTCCTCCTCCTCCTCCTCCTCCTCCTCCTCCTCCTCCTCCTCCTCATCATCATCATCATCATCATCATCATCATCATCATCATCATCATCATCATCATCATCATCATCATCATCATGCACACGCCGCCGCGCCCTCTGGGCACCCGCTTGAGTCCAGGCTTGTCGGGGGAAGCCCTCCCCTCATAATCCCATCTCGGGGGCGTCCAAGAGGGGGGCGTCCAAGAGGGGGGCGTGCAAAGCATGGCCCTGGGCACGTGCGCGGACCATGGGGGGCCAGGGAACGTTTTGAAATGAGAATCGGCGGTTGAGAAACCTCCCTTTGGCAAACCTCCCTTTCATGAAAACGGCCTAGGACCGAAACCGACGGACCTGGACCCGCAAAAATGACGGCCGCGACGCCCTCTCGCGAACCGAAGACGGCCAATTCGCTATTCGACGTATTAGGGTAGGAGGTCTATCAACCTCCGAAAGAAGAGGCGCCATGGGGAGATATCATGGCCCCCGCCATCATATCCACCCCCCCCTAATCATCACCCCCCTCGTTGCCGCCCCCGACCATCTCTGCCAGGGGGTGGGTCCCGGGTCAGAATACCACCCTCCTGAGGTCCCAGCGGGTCCTGGGGGGGGGCGAGCCGCTGGCAGGGGTCTCAGGGGAGGCCCCGCCTTCAGGGCCGGCGGCACCAGCCGTAAGGCCTTCGCAACCATGTCGCCGAAGAGCTGGGCACGAGTATAACGAGGATGCGAAAAAGCGCTGGGCCGTGTGGGGGAACGTTGGAAAGGAGGACCTCACCAGGGAAGGAAGCATCGACCTGGAATCGGCGATGCACCGCCGATAGATCGTCGATATGTCCTCGGTAACGAAACCGTGCGTTCCTGGGCGATGTAGGTCTATCGGGCCCCCATCGGCGATCTGTGGGCGATTGGGGGTCGATGCATCCCCCCTGTTGAGCTGGGACCGACGTCCCGGCATTACTATAAGCCTGCCACGCAATGTCCTTAGAACCAAAAAAGTGCTCCAAGAACCAAAACAGCGCTTCAAGAACAGAAAACCGACGTTTTGAAACAGGACAGTCCCAGCCAGAGATGGGAAGCACCAGGACATACAAATTCTATATGTCCTCCTTGGAGGCGCGCGTCCGACCCGAACATATAGTATACCCATCTTGTAGTAGATCGTTTCCCGAGCGGTGCGTGGCCAGAATGCGCCCGCCACGACGCGTATACTGTAAGATGTCTCGGTGCGCGCGTCGCCCCTGGGGGGGGCCGACGCACACATAGTGCAAGTATGTTGGGGTGGCGCCGAAGAGATGTTCTGACACACACACACACACACACACACACACACACACACGTCGCGCAAACCACAAATGACGATCGAAGAACACGCACCCATACCATAGGGGGGACGGAGGAGGCTATGGGTGCGTGTTGTCGGATGGGGTCCCCGCTCGAACGGGAGCTTCCCCCAGGGTCCGACAACTCGCACCCACACCCATAGCCAGTTCCCCTCCTTTCGACCCTCCTATGGGTATGGGCGTGAGTTGTTCGCTCGTCAACACAAGCTTCTCGGAGCAGTCTCCGGCGGGCCTACATAGGCAAGCCGGGACGCCGCGCCGCGGCTCGACCCTGAGCCTGCTCCCCCCCCCCCCTTCGCCGCCGTCCCGGCCTGCTCGTCGCGGGCGTAGAGCCACAGGAGCCGGTCGGAGCCCGCGGAGTTGTGGAGCGTCAGGCGGGGCAGCCCTGCCTGCGGCGCTCGAGTAAACGCAAGCAAGCAAGAAAGCAAGTTTAGGTCGGAGGAGGAGGAGACAGCACCGGTCCGCTGCCCGTCGGTCGAAGAAGCGGGCAGCAGCACGAAGCAGGAGGGCGGAGATCAAGCAGATCGGGTTCGGGCCCCTTCCAGAGGACAGCACAACACACAGCAGCAGCACAGCGGTGCTGGAAGTAGGAGGGCGCCTGAAGCAGATGGGGGACCCACAGATACCTCGTCACTACTTTCAAGGACCGGCGCGTGCCCCATCCCTCGGCTTCGCCTTGCTGGGCCTCCTGAGAGGCCCTCGTAGCCCCGGCAGGACTCGCCTCGGAGTGCTGGCCAGAACGCACTCTGAGAGAGGTCGGGGGAGTGACGCGATCGGCACCTCTTGGCTTCTCCATGAGGGGGGGCGGTGAGAGGGGGAACTGGCAGGAACCTCGAGAGGCCTGAAAAAACTCGCTCCACCAGGAGGCGCCCGAGCAGCGCGCCAGGAGACCCACACAGTTCTCCAAGAAGCCTCTGACCCACCATCCTGACACGGCAGCAGCACGAGCCGAAGCCTCCCGGTGCTTCCAGGAGGCCCCCACACAGCCCTCTCAGAGGCCACGCGTCTACACCCCAACGGACCTGAAGATCGGCGGTGCCTCGCCGAAACATCGGCGACAGGCCCACTCTGGCGCATCCGCACGCCCCTGCGAGGCCCCCCCGTCGGGCCGTTTCTCGACGGCCCTGGGACCCGGCACAGGGGCTCCCAGAGGCCGCAGACAGCCAAAAAACCTGACGGGGCCCTGGGATGCACAAATAAGTAGACACAAATCACAAGATTCCCCATATATCTGCCCATATCCTCTGGGTTTGTGTCTTCCCCCCCACTTCCCATACGTTCCCACATCTTCGGGGGCATCGACGATGAATGGTGCCTCTGTGTGTTTTTTTCCCCTCCTGATAGCCTCCCGCCGCGACGTGCTCTCACGACGCGGGAACCTCGGAAATGAGTGGGCGACATGGACCGGGGGCCGCCGCGTCCTCCCCCCCCCCGGATCCCCTGCCCCCCCCCCCTACCCAGACCCCCGACGTAATGATTTTTTCATTACGTCGACCCCAGAGTTCTCGACCCCTTCCCCAGGACCGGTTTGTCACCCTGAGTCGTTTTTTGACGCTCCCGAGGCCCGGTGAGGGCCCCCAGAGGCCGAAAATGGCGAAAAACCTCCCGTCATGATTTTTTCATTGCTCGAGGGGGTCTGGGTAGAACGCTGCCCCGTGGCCTCCGGGCCAGGGCCAACTACTCGGCCCTCTGGCGGCCACCCGGCACGGCTTGGGCACCCCCGGAGCGCTCGCGGCCCGCGGCGGCTGGTGGCAGCCCTCCCTGACGACCCACCAGACCACCCCGACCCCACCCGAAGACGCGGACTTCAGGCTGCGGCAACCTGGAACTGGAGAGCACACTGGGGCCTTCGGGCTGGGTCGGGGCGGCTGGGTGGGTGATGTATCCCCGGCCTCGACAACGCAACCTGGAACTGGAGAGCACACTGGGGCCTTCGGGCTGGGTCGGGGCGGTTGGGTGGGTGATGTACCCCCGGCCTCGACAACGCTCAGAGACTTCCGAGGACCGCCGTCCATGGGGAAACCAAAAGGTACCAATACCGCTACTCCCCGGACCTCTCCTGGGGTGCGGTCTGACCAGAATTTCAAGGCGAATCCGGCGGTGGCAACGAGGGCCTCCCAGGAGGCCCACAAAGGGGAAGACGAGGGACAGGTGGCTGTAATTCATAGGGGTACCTTTTTCCTCCTCCGAGCCCGAAGCTCGCGAAGAACCCTTCGCCCACCCCCCCTCTCAACGTAGACCCCGGTCGCCCCCAGCAGCAGCTCGCTCCCGGGGTCCGTGGCGAGCACCCGCCGCCACGCCGCCGGCTCCAGGAGCGCCCGCGCCGTGGCCGCCAGCGCCGCCCGCGCGCCCTCGCCGGGTGCTGCTGGAGTGAAGTCGGGCGTGTCCCCCTACAGGGGGATAGTTTTCGACGAAAAATGAAACAATACTCAAAACATATCCCCAAAAAGGGCCAGAAAATGCCCAACAGGTAGTCCCCAGACTACGTTTTGACTGTTGTTGAACACTTCTCCTGTAGAGGGACGGGCCCGACTTCATGCTAGAGAGATGGTCCGAGGCCCAGGGCGTCCCCCTATCCTTTCGCGCCAGCTTGCAGGCACGAGGAACGGCGACAGCGACACCACCAGGGCGAGGAGGTGCGAGGCGCGAGGGGGGGGGGGGGGCGGTCCCCCCGCCCTCGCTCGAGACCTCCCCGGCCTGCAGCTCGGGGAGGCGCCGTGGACCTCCTCGCTGGAGGTGGCCCCCCTGGTGGTGGTGGTGGTGTCGCATCCCCCCCCTCCGGGTTTGGACCCTTCCTCTGGGCCTCGCGAGGGGTACTCAAGAGATGCCATCTGGGCCTCCCCTGAGCTCCGACGCTTCAAAACGAAAAAACAAGTTCAGCACCGTAAAAGATCACGACCCGAGCGTTAGGTCGGGCGTGCCCCTGACAGGCGGATTTTGGGGCGAAAGTTAGAATGTCTCACATGTTTCTTGCAACGAAGAAAAAAGTCCCCTGATTATGTTCTAAACACTCTTTTTGGATAGTCGCAGTGGACCCCATGTTTCTGCGCCACTCGTCCAGCCCGACCAAGCCGCGAGGGCCCCACAGGGCCCGAGGCACGGGGTGAAAAGTCGCCCGGCAGTTGTGCGCGAACAGATGGCAGCGCCTGGCTCTCGGGGCCCCCGGGAGTCCTGGGGACGCCTCTGGAGGCCTCCCAGATGGGGTCCGAGCAGATGCGGTCGGAGGATCGCGCCGCATCGCCGGTGCACCGGCGATGCATCGGCGATGCACCGGCAATGCGTCGGCGATGTGGGCGATGCATCGGCGACGCCGGCGCGAAGTAAATCGGGCTCCGCATCGACCCGCATCGCCAACGCATCTGCGATGCGGCGCGATCCTCCGACCCCATCTACTCCGACCCCATCTGGGAGGAGGAGGAGGAGGAGGAGGAGGAGGAGGAGGAGGAAGAGGAGGAAAGGGGGGGGGAAGGAGCAGGCATGGGGACGATGATGAGGAGGAGGAGGGGGGGGAGGAGGAGAGGAGGAGGAGGAGGAGGAGGGAGGAGGAAGAGGAGGAGGAGGAGGAGCCGGAGGGACAGAAGGAGGACAGAAGGAGGAGGAGGAGGAGGAGGAGGAGGAGGAGAAGGAGGAGGAGGAGGAGAAGGAGGAGGAGGAGGACCCCATCTGGGAGGCCTAGAGAGCCTCGGGCCAGGGGCCGCTTCCGGCAGCGCCCGGCCTCGGCGACTGGCAGCCGGCAGATGCCGTGGCGCCCCAGGGCGGCGCCGCCCAGGCCCAGGGCCAGCGGAGCGGCGGGCGGCGCCCTGCTGCAGGCGGGCTGACGGAGGGCTGCCGGCCACAGTGCACCTGCGCCTAGGTCGGGCATGACCTCCTACAGGCGGGTTTTGATAGCAAAGTGCAAATTACTGAAATAATAACACGAATAAGAATGATGCTAATCATAATACTCGTAATTGAAATAGTTCTAAAAGTTTCAGTAATACAAATAATAATAATAAGAAGAAGAAGAAGAAGAACTACAATAATAACAATAATGATGATACTAGTAGTACAATATAATAGTAGTAAAAATAATACGAAGAAGAGCAAGAAGAAGAAAAAGAGCAAGAAGAAAATATTTATCAGTATTATAATAATAATACTACGAATAATAATAATAAGAAGAATAATGATGATAACAATAGTAATAGTAATACTAATAATCACAACAAACCAACAAAGCACGAAACATCGTCATCAGACTGGGTTTGCTGTTCCCTCCTTGACCATTTTCCCCCCTGTAGGGGGACATGCCCGGCGTAAAAACCTCCGCCGAGCCTGGCCGGGACGATCCTGGGCCCAGTCGGCGGCAAGCCCAAGCGGGCGGCCGAGAAGAGAGGGGTCTTATAGGCGAGATGGCACAGCGACCTTACGCGCCGGCCCGCGCGGGCCGCCAGCGCGGCATTTACCAGCCTGGAACATATCCCTATCCCTATGCTGGGCACCTCCTCATCACGATGCCAATCCTAGGGATTCCCTTAGTTCTTGAGGGCGGATCCCTAAGATTGTCATCGCCTTTTGGCGTGTCAATCTTAGGGATAGGGATACGCTCGAGGCCGGTAAGGCATGCGCCGTGGGAGACGAGGGCACTTTACCACTTCTACGCGCGGCCTGGCGCGGGCAGCTGGCTCGCCGATGGCGGCGCAAGACGGCCCCGTTGTTCTTGCGTCGCCGGGAAGGGAAGCCAAGGTGGGAAGGAACAGGAGCGGCACGAACTCATGCACAAGACGCGTCAGCACACGGGGAGGGGAGGGGCCGGAAGAGGAGGGAAGAGGAGAGGGGGTAGACGAAGGAGAGCACTGGCGAGAGAAGGGTAACGACTAGGCCTCTAGGATCGGTGTGCATGCCATCCTCGCCAAGTCAGGAGGCCCCGAAATCCACCGACATCTGTGTAGGGGGCCACATGCGAAGCCTACCCCTACCTCTCACGATTTCTGAGGGGGAGGAGAGGCGAAGCGAACCCCACCCTCCCCCTCAGACGTCGTGTGGGGTAGGGGTAGGGTTCGTATGTGTGGCCCCCTACTGTGTCTCGTCCGCTGCCCCACAGATCACGAACACCTTCCCCGGGGCCAGCTCTGCGCCCCCGGGCCACTTCTCTCGTGGCCCTGGGCCCGACCGCGGGCCACATGGAGGCCGAAATCGAGGAGAACAGCCCGCCCACATCGAACCACAGACGCACAACTGCCGTCGGAGATCCGGAGGCCCCGCACAGGTCGGGCTGCTGCAGCGACGAGCGACTCGTGAGGAACGAAGCCCTCCCCTTTGGCCCCGAGAGCGCCTGCGTGCACGAGGAGGGCCAGAGGAACGGCCACGGAAGGGCCCCAGGAGCAGCGGGCCCCCTCCGGAGCCAGAGCGGTCCTCGTTTCGGCGCCTGGGCTGTAGAAAGGGGCCCCAGGACACACAAAGAAATACACACAAATCAAAAAATCCCCCAGATGTTCCCATATTTTGGGGGGTCTTCGTCTTCCCCCCCACTGCCCGTATTTTCCCATATTTTCTGGGGAATCGACGATGAATTGTGTCTGTGTGTCTTTGCTCCCTCCTGACTGTACAGCGATCCCGGGCCCAGGATGAGCCTGGCCGCCCAGGACCAGTGCATGTGCAAAGGAGGAGCTCGGCTGCAAGAAACCTTCCACAAGACACCCAACCCTGGAACCACAGGACGTCCATTGGTTCTCGGTCCGGGAACGCCACGCTTTCCATCGCAAAACCATCGGAACCCAAGCAACCCAGGGCACCCTGGAGGCAAGCAGGGTGCTCGTTGGCATGGGCTTCTACTGTATGGCTGGCGCCCTCCGAGGCTGGTCCACGTCATCGCCCGCGCCATCGCAGGCCGCGCCGCGCAGCAGGTCCCAGACGCCCTCGTCGTCCGAGTCTTCGTCCTCTCCTGGGCAGGGCCAAGACTGGACCAGAAAACAAACGACACCACCCCACCTACGGCACCACGGGGCCTAGCGTACACCATGAAATCTGGCGTGGGCTTCTGCGTGGTATACTCCATGGCCCCCGATGGGCCCTAGCGCAACATGGAGGGCCGTGGGTGGGGTGGTGTCGTTTGTTTCTCGGTCGAAAGACGGCCCAATATCATACGATAAGGAGGATTACACGAGAGACGGCCCGAAGCCTTCGGACGTTTTCTTTGGTTCTCGCCGACTTTGTCCACCCTCGGGGTGCCCCCCAAGCAGCTGCGCCTCGCCGAGGAGGGCTCCTGGGGTGTCCAGAGTCGTTCCGAACGGGCGCCAGAGAAAGCCCGGTGAGGACCCGAGTCCCAAATCCTCTGACGATCTGCTTTGCTCGATCGGGTCGTTGTGCCTCGAGATCCGCCCCTGGCGCCAGTCTATCGGGCCCCGGGGCCGTCAAAGACAGGTCGGGGGCGCGGAACTGGCCCTGGGGATGGGGTCGGGACCTCCGGGGCGCCGCTCCTAGAAAAAACACGTCGGCGGGAGATCGGGAAACAGGGACCTGGTGGCAGACCAGGGCGCTGGCGCGCAGGAGAAAACTGCAGCCGCAGGTCGAGACAGCACTCCCCATTATCCGTCTTATTCTCTTGTTCTCTGTCTGGAAATTTCGGCAGAGTCCTGGATTTTCATGTCCTGGGGGTCAACTCAAAATATCCGCCACCGTGCCTCTGGTCACAGAATGGGCGTGTCCTCAAGTCCTTTGCCTAATCCGTGGAGCCTCAGTCGTCAGGAGTCCTGGATGGGCCCGGACCCCAAATTCCGAAATCTCCTGAGGCTTCCCGCGTGTCCCCTGGGCTTTGGGAAATGTTCTCGCATGACTTGTTCGGGCCCGAGAGGGCCCGAAGACGGGCCAAAAGAGCCCCACGAGGCCCCCAAAACGGTCCAAGAGGGCACCGAGTCGCCGAAAGATCGTTCCACGACGCCCAAGATGGCCTCAAGATGGACCACGAGGCCTCCAAGACGCCCCAAGAGGCCTCCAAGAGGCCTCCCAAGAGGGCCCCAAGAGGCAGAAAGCATAGATGCTCCTAAGGTTTTGGAAGATGTTGGCGTTCTTGCCCTTTCGGCTTTCCGACGCCCCAAGACGGCCAATACCATCCCGAAACGGCCGGAGAGACCTCCAAAGGGCCCCAAGACGGCCTAAGAGCGCCCGAAGACGGCCCAAGAGGCGCCCAAGATGCCCCACCCACACTGCGGCCAGAGAAATTGAAAAATTCGGGATGCTTGCTTCGAAGCGATTCGGATTTCCTCTGTAGTGGTCACGACGCTGCCCCGCCCATCCTTTGGCAGCCTGGACTGACCGCGCCTGATGCCTGCTGCGCACTCCTCGCGAAGACTCAGCTCCTCCCGCTTTCCTCCTCCGCGGCCGCCCTCTTGTTCCCTTTGTCGTTTGTGTGTGTGTGTGTTGTGTTTGTGTGTTGTGTGTGTGTTGTCAACTCTGGGACTTCCGGGGGCCCTTGACATATAAACCCTGAAGTAGAAGAAAGAAACACGGCATCAACACAAACTTGTGGCGCTCCGCGCGGATGTCTTGGATCCGCGCTGGGCCCCCCTGGCGGCGTCTCTGGCGCCGCCCCTGGCGCGCTCCGCGCGTCAGGAAGGGAGGTCCAGCGCAGATCCAAGAAATCTGCGCGGAGCGCCCAAAGTTTATGTGTATGCAATGTTTTCCTGCTTCTCAGAAAGCCGGACTTAAGTCGGGCATGTCCCCCTGCAGGTGGATTTTGGACGAAAAATCAAACATAGTCCAAACATACCTCAGAACTTATCAAAAGAAATCGAAGCATCTTCCCCGTACTGCTTTTTTCAGCTATTTTTGAGTATTCCTCCTCTGGAGGGACGTGCCCGACTTAAAGCTGGACATGTCCTTCCAAGGCCACCGCTCGGGGAGACGTAAGAATCGGGTCCGGGGGGATCGGGTGGGCCCCACGGGGCCGCAATTGGGCAAATGACGAGGCCCCGTCGACACTTTGTCGCCGGCGCCCGCTGCAGACGTCCCACGAGAACTGGACCGTCAAAACTCAAGATCGGCCCGTCAAGGTCGGGAAACCCAGGCTCCGGCGAGCGGTTGGTCGTAGCGTTAGGTCGGGCATGTCCCCCTACAGGCGGATGTTTGACTAAAACGATCAAAATCAGTCAATTATCCCAGTGCGACCCTACCTAGGAGTTCGAGCCCCCAGGAAAGCAGCATTAGTAGTAACAGTAAAGCTAAGCTAGAGCTAGGCTAAAACTAAGCAACTGCTACAATAAAGCTAAGCTAAAACTAAGCTAAAAAAAGCTAAAGCTAAGCTAAAGCTAAGCTCAAGCTAAGCTGAAGCTGAGCTGAAGCTAAGCTGAAGCTAAACTAGAGCTAAGCTAAAGCTAAGCTAAAGCTAAGCTAAAGCTAAGCTAAAGCTAAGCTAAAGCTAAGCTAATGCTAAGCTAAAGCTAAGTTAAAGCTAAGCTAAAGCTAAGCTAAAGCTAAGCTGACGCTAAGCTAAAGCTAAGCTAAAGCTAAGCTAAAGCTAAGCTAAAGCTAAAGCTAAAGCTCCCACGGGACTGAGGGAACCGCGGGGCGGATACTGGGGGAACCGCCCGGGGCGGGCCCCACTGCCCGGCCCTTTAAGCATACCGAGTAAGAACCCTTCTAGGCAGAGCCTGGGTAGGGAAAAAATCGTCCCCCGACTATTTGAAACTATGTTTGAACATTCCTCCTGTAGAGGGACAGGCCCGCCTTACAACTGACCCGTCAAAACTCCAGACCGGCCCGTCAAGGTCGGGAAACCCGAGCTCTGGCGAACGGCTGGTCGCAGCGGCGCGGATCCACGCCGCAGCCGAAGGCTGCCGAGGGACACCGCGGGGCCGAAGTGAGCACGGCAGGACGAAGGGGGGCGCGGGGGCGAGGCGGCCGCGGGCGGCCGAGCACGCTCAAGGCATGAGGTTCTTGCGCGTGTGTACTTGCACGGGGACGCACAGGAGACATACGAATGCTTTACGTCATCCTTGGAGGCGCGCGTCCCACCCAGACATGTAGAATATATCCATATTGTAGTATATCGTTGCCCGAGCGGTGTGGCCGGACAGCGCCCGCCACGACGCATACACCATATGAGATTTCTCGGTGTGCGTCGCCCCTGGGGTGGCGACGCACACACAAAGTAGTAACAGTAGTATGCTGGGGTGACGCCAATGTGCAGCAGGACGTAGCAGACAGTTGCCGGCGAGCTCGAGCCTCCGACCCCGCCTCCGCCTCCGCCTCCGCCTCCGCCTCCGCCCTCCTCCGCCTCTGCCTGCTCTTCCTCCTCCTCCTCCTCCTCCTCCTCCCCCTCTTCCTCCTCCTCCCCCTCCCCCTCCTCCTCTCCTCCACCCTCCCCTCCTCTCCTCCTCCTCTCTCCTCCTCATCCTCCTCCTCCTCCTCCTCCTCCTCCTCCTCCTCCTCCGCTCCTCCTTCCTCCTCCTCCTCCTACTCCTCCTCCTCCTCCTCCCCTCCTCCCTCCTCCCTCCTCCCTCCTCCCTCTCCCCTCCTCCCTCCTCCCTCCTACTCCCTCCTCCCACCTCCCTCCTCCCGCCTCCCTCCGCCTCCCCCCTCCACTCCTCCTCCTCCGCCTCCTCCTCCTCCTCCTCCTCTCTCCTCCTACCTACCGCCGCCTCCGCCTCCTCCTCCTCCCCTCATCATCCTCCTCCTCCTCTCTCCTCCTCCTCCCCCTCTTCCTCCTCCTCCCCCTCCTCCTCCTCCCCCTCCGCCTCCTCCCCGCCTCCTCCTCCCCTCCGCCGCCTCCGCAGACCGAAGAAGGTCCCCGTCTGGAGTGGTGGGGGGGGGTGGGGGGAGAAGAATAGAAGCAGACTCGCAGACTCCGCCCCATCCTCCCTCCTCCTACTCCGCCTCCGAAGCCACCTCCTCCTCCTCCTCCTCCTCAGCCTACCCCTCCTCCTCCGTCCCTCCTCCTCCTCCTCCCTCCCGCCTCCCATCCTCCTCCTCCTCCTCATCCTCCTCCTCCTCCGCCGGCCTCCGCCTCCCCCGCATCCCGCCTCTCCTCCTCCTCCTCCTCCTCCTCCTCCTCCTCCCAGCGAACTCGAGCCTCGCGCTTCCCCGAGCCGTGCCCGTGCCGCGGCGATCCCGGGCAGCGGTGGCCGCGCCCCGCGTGCCCGCCGCGCATCGCTGCCGTCACCGGGCAGGGTGCGCGTGCGCGGGCGCCCCCGGGAGGCCCAGGGAGCGGGGCGGATCTGGGGAGGCCCAAACGTAGATACAGTCAAAAACCCTAATAAGGACGCGCGGTAAGGACGCAAGACCCTTGGAAGCCGAAGTTGGGACTTTTGGGGCGGTGGACGACGAAAATCTCAAGGACGCAAGAGCAAGGAAGAGCAAGGACGCAAGGGTACCCTGAGCAAAGTCGCGCGTCCGGATCCGCCCTACTTTGGGGAAATTCGTAAGTAGGGCTTGGAGTTTCTGCCTTCTTTTCAGGCCCCGCAGGATGCCAACTTCGGCCCTGCTCTCTTCTGCTGCTGTTTCCGCCCTGCTTCTGTGGATGTCCGCCATAGTTTTATGTTGGGTGCAGAAATGTCCGCCCTACGTCTTCGGCTTCTCATAGGTTGATGTCCGACGCAGTTTGAAGTCGGAAAAAAAGCCAAACTAGGGCGGACCTGGAGTCAGGGCAGGGAGGAGGGGGAGGAGGGAGGAGGGAGGAGGGAGGAGGGAGGAGGGAGGAGGGAGGAGGGAGGGGGAGGACCCAACACCACAGGACGGTTGGGAAAAAAGCCAAGGTAGGGCGGATCTGAAGTCAGGGCCGGGAGCGGGGCGGACCTGGGGAGGCCCAGACGCAGCTACCCCCGGGGCGGCGCGCCCCCCGCGAGGCGCCGAAGCGGCGGCCACGGCTCCCGCCGCGGCGGGCGCGAGAAGCCGGCCTCCGCGGGCCCGGAGGCCAGCCCTCGGCAGGGTACGTCTGTCCAGGGGAGGCCCACACGTACTCCAGATTTCGTAATAAAAGGGAGGTCTGGACCCTCCAAGACAGGCCATTTCAGACCTCCCCCGTGGGAGAACCCTCCAAAACATCGTCCCCAGACCCCCCGGGCCCTCCAAGATAGCCTGGAAGAGACCCCCCCCCCGAAATGAGACCCCCCTCCCTTTATTACGAACTCTGGAGTCCATACTTGTGGAGGCCATGACAATGGACACTCCAACCCTTCGACCATTGAATTAAACATGTCTTTCAAGATGTGTTCGACACGCTTTCAAATCTGTTCGAAACATGTTCGAAACA